ATAATTCGGTTTGATGAACATGGAGATATAACCACGTTCGCCAAACACTTGACTAAAGCTACACAGAGTAAACAAGGGTAAAACCAAACAAAAAATTATTTATCATGCCCAACATCTTCAGGTAAAAAACGTATAAGTCTGACCGCCACCTTTTACTCCCGTACTCCATAAAGAAACGAAAAAACCCGGAAGGGAGAAAAAATAATAATTTTCTGACAAAATCCATATTTTTAAATATGTAATAAGTCAGAACTTAAGAGAAACTTGAAACAATTCTAATGAAGAAAAGAAGACTTCTCCGACGTATCATCCATGACGCTCTGCTCCAAGACTCGCAGTTGCTTTTTCGGTGGCAAAGACATTCGGAACGAATAACAAAAGAAGCGCAAAGGCTATCCCTGAATCGATTTATGGAAAATTCATTTCCGAAGAGCTGGTCCCTCACAGTCTGCAAGAAATTCTGTTGGAAATACAACAAATTAAACACGCTTTAACGTCCTGGAACTGCCTGCAGTTCGGATTCTAATGCTACCCAGGTGCATCGCCCCGAAATGTATCGCAGTAAATATTTCAGATGTTTTGAAAAACTGCTTCAAACAATGAGACACACCTTCAGGTCTGATGACCAGTACACGTTCCTCTTTCAGTCGCTTCAGAATCGGTGTATAGGAGCTTTCCGGCAAACAGCGACTCTCTGGGGGGCTTTCAGCGTATTGAGGATTATTTTTCCTGTAAAGCACAAACATTCAGCGACTGCTTATCAGAAACCAAAGTACAAAAATTACCCGATAAACTCCGTAACCTCGGAGGTTTATGCTCCTAAACAGGGGAGGGGGTATGAAGCGTAACGGAAATTTTTGCACTTTTAAGGGATCTTGGATGAGAACTTCTCATAATTCTTGTGACGCCAATCGAAGTACGTCGAGAAAAGAGCAAGCAAAGTTACGAAAAGTAACCGTCCAATGGCCGTGCACAAATGCCCCGGAGAGACTGAATATTCGACAGTGTGCTTTTGAAGAGAACTTTACAACTTCCTCGACTAAATTTGGCTCATTTCCGGCACTGTGAGGTGTCCCAAAATAAAATAAATAGCGACGCGTACCAGGGCTACCAGTGCGATTATGGTTTGTGCAGCTCCGTCCAGCGAACGTTCGTCTGCTAAGGATTTTCACTGCTTTGGACTTTGGGCTGTGCAAAAATAACTGAAATGTTGTCTGGTTCCCAAGTTGCGGAAATTCCCACCAAAAATTTCACGCACCGGTAAGCGAAAACTGAATTTGAAACCATGGCAGGTGAATATCCTCCCAAAACTTCAGCTTACTAATTTTCTAGCTTTTGAATGATTTTTTTGCGGCAAAACTTTCACGTGGTCTTACATGAGGCTTCAGCGTATTTAGGAACTGAATTCGAATGCGCGAAGCTCCTGCTTGGGCAGAAAACATCCTCCTGAACTTTTCGGCCCCATAGCTCTTCCGGCTCCCAAGAAAATGTTTTCCCGTTAAAACTTTCACAGGGACATTGGAAATTGGCGGAGTCGTACGTGAGCAGGGGATGCCGCGCTAAAATTTCAGATTCTCAACTTTCGTGATTCCTGAGATAATTTTCCACGTCGAAACTTTTACGAGGCCAAAAGTGATACCTGAGAACGCGGGAGCGCTAAATTTGAATTTGCGAGGTCGTACGCGAGCACGGGGCCATTACCCTAAAACTTCAGCTTCCTAGACCCCACGGTGTCCAAGACAATAGTTTACCAGCCAAAAGTGTCACGGGGCCGCACGTAGTACCCGCAGGCACGGGAAGGCTGAATTTAAATTTATGGGGTTACACATGGGCAGGAAACACACTCCCAAATTTTTTACTTCCTAGCTTCTGTGGTTCCCGAGATGAAAGCTGCGGACAAGTTGCTGCAGACACACACGCACACACACACA